AGATGCATCAATGAAAACGCAAATGAAAATGAAATAGCATAGAATATCAAAAGAATAGCGGATGACACAGTGACGTATGTGAACCATCCGATAGAGTAGGTAGCCAGGCACAGGCACGCAGTGGAACATCTTTTCCTGCATATATCTCCTATATCTGCATACCGGGATGGAGTAGAGTGGGTTTGGTCAAACATGTGCACACTCAGCTAAAGCCGATAAACTCAATCCAGGAAAGGCGGATAGACAAGATAGGAGGATAGGACAGATGCGCAGATGTCGACATTGAAGCGTCATGTTGATGCCGATGATATACAATGTGTGGGACAACATTGTTGTCCGCGTCCGCGTCCGCGTCCACACCTGCCACACCTATGTCCATCTGTCTCCGTCTTTGTATCCATATCGCCCCATGTCCCAATCCATGCCCATATCCAACTACCAAGGTAAGAGCAGAAAGAAAACAGTACTGTACAAGTCGAAGCAAAGAAATACAAGAGGAGAAATCAAATGAAAGAAATCTTACCACTCAGGATTCATGATGAAGGCGTAGAAGATATGAGTCTTGGAATCGGAATCGGAGCCGGGATGTGATGCGAATATGAGCAGGTTGTTTCTCCTCCTGTCTAGTTGTTGATCGTTGAGTGTGTCTGGTCGGTCCCGTCTATCGATGGATGAATGGATGGATGGATGGATAGGTGTGAAATGAAACGTAAACGTAATCGGCGAAGACAAACCTTGAAACAAACCAAAGGGCTAAATAACTAGCTAGCGGTTAACTAGGAGGCTATCAAGTAGTGTGCGTATAGTTGCAACCAGCAGGAATCTACCAGGTGCAGTTCGAGAGAAACGACGGATAGGTAGACGAGAGATGATGGGGCCTCTGGGATATTTAAACGTAGGTTAGGCAGGCAACAGCTGGTGGATAAGTGAACGGCTTAGTTCTATTCTCTGTAGAGGTGTTGTGTATATCCCTTTCAAACACCTTCCAGACAGCACCGGGCGTGGTAAATAAGTGAGTCAAGCTAAACAGAAGAAAAAGAACATCCTTCCAATGTTATCTAGGCAGGCATACCTATGTAATGAATACGGAAATACCCTGGTATTAACGGACAAGCCCAAGGCGATCAAACGACCGTAATCTTCCCGCTGTCAACCGTGAGAGCGTAACTGTAACCGTGGCTATTAAACTTAGGCTAACTTAGCAGTAACTAGATGGAAGTGTACAAGACGAGTTGGATATTGCTGATGCAGGGAGGGATAGGGTTCGTTCGTGCGTTCGTTGCAGATATGGTAGATGGTTAGATGGTAGACAGATGGCAGATGGTTAGATGGTAAAGAACGAGGGGTTTCAGGCCTGGAAAGGCGCTAGCACTGCTTGCGGTTTAGCGGTGTTGGGGAAACGCTGCCTTGGTTGGTTGCTGGTGTCCACGTAATGAGTGAGATTATGTAAGAATGGGCGTTCTGGTCACCGGAACCCAAAGTTAACTATTTAACCTCACGCGCGGCCTCAATGATTAATTCAGTTATCTCAACTCCTGTAAAACATAAAAGCTCTAAATTAAAAAGAGAGGCTTGTACAAATAATTCAGACTTATATAAATTGTCAATTTAGTAGTGTCTAAGCTGCTATAAAGTCATAAAATATCTTCTATATAAGTTTTTATAAATTATAAAACTAATAAATAATTTTAAAATTTTATAAAATATTAAAACTATTTTTAAATAGAATATTTTTAAATAAAAATCTTATTAAGATTTAATATTCATTTTAAAAATAAATTTTTTATTATAATATTATTATTTTAATAAATTTATATATAAATTTAAATATAAAAAATATTATTATAAATTATTTTATTTAATTAAAAATATATATAATTAATTAATATAATAAATTAAATATAAAATTATTTATAATTTATTAATATTATATTTAATTAATAAAAATATTTTATAAATTTATTAAATTTTAAAGTTAAAAAATAAATATTTTTAATAAAAATATTAATTAATTATATATTACTAATATTAAAATAAATAAATTTTTAAATAAATTTTTTAATTTTTTAATTTTATCATTTATTTATCAAATTATTATTTATATATATAATAATTATTTTAAAAATTTAAATTATAAATATTATTAATTGAGAGTTTATATAAAATAAAAATATTTTTATTTTAAAAATTATTAATTATTAATAATTTTTATTATTAACTTTTAATATTAAAATTTAAATAATATAAAATATAAATAAAAAATTTATATTAAAACTTTGCTAATTTTTTAATTTTTTAATTTTATAATATTTTTTTATATTATTTAGACTTAAATTAACTTAAAAATAATAAAAAATTATTAATTTATAAAAAGTAAAAATTATATAATTTAATATTTTTATATATAAATTTTTATAATTAAAACTTTAAGTTAAAAATATTTTTTTATTTTAATTTATATCTTTATATTTATTATTATTATTATTATTATTATATATAAAATATATTTAATTATTAATTATTATATTTATTTAATTAAAATGAAATTTATCTATATTATTAATTAAATAAATAAAAAATAATTTAAAATATATTATAAAATTTAAAATAATTAAATATATTTTAATTTAATTCAAAAAATAGTTTAAAAAATTAGATTAAAAGATAAATTTTTTATTTATCTTAAATATTTACTTATATAAATATTTTAAAAATTAAAAAAATAGATTTAATAGTAAAAAATTATATTAAAATAATATATTGAACTTTAAATATAATTATTTTAAATTTTATATAAAAAATTTAAAAATTATATAAATTTTAATAAATATAATATTATAATTTAATTAAAAATTAACTTATATTTTACACTAAATTACTTATTAAATAATAATATTTAAAATAATAAAAGAAT